TAAGGCTGGGCCTGGAGGAAGGAGAGAGAACACACTGGTGGCAGTTAAGCAGGAGTGGGGCATGGAGGAAGGTCTCTGGGGATGAGAGCATGAGTCTTGAGGCCAGAGAATGGGGGAGGGGCGGGGAACAGGCTAGGTGTGGCAGAGACAGTTAATTGTCCCCAGTATCTATTTCTCCCGTCTACCTTTTAGCAACAGAATCCCTCGGGTTTTAGCCAGGCCCATGGCATCCCAAGTTATAGATTACATTTCTCAGATTCTTTTGCCTTTAAGTGCATCTATATGGCTAAATTTTGGCCAATGGACTGTGAGCAGGAGTGATGTGTGTGGGCCCTGGGTTGTTTTTATAAGGAAGTTCTTTGCACTCTACTTCTTCTTATTCTGCCTTGAATGGACTAAAATGCAGATATGGTGGAATGATTCAAATTCAACCCTGTAGGCAAAAAAAAAAAAACAGCCTCAGGGATGGGATGAGCAAAAATGGGTGAGGACCTGGGGTCCCTGGTGACCTCGTGGAGCAGAGCTGCCTGTACACCTGGACCACTTCTGGGCTTCTATGTGACAAACAGGATTTTATCTTCTTCAAGCACCAGTCTCCTGGGACCTTTTGTTATAGTGCCTGTCCTGTATCCTCAACTAGTCCTGAAATTGAGGTTGGAAGGGAGGCACTGCCGTAAGGAAAATGAAATTGTACAGCCTTGTCTTAGCAGGTGGGTTGTAGGTGGTGAGGAAGTGTACACTGCAGGCTGGAGAGTAGGCGACCCAGGTTATTTTGTGGCAACATATTCGGCAATAACTTGGAACTCAGATCAGGCCCCTAAAGAGCCTGCAGTTCCTGTAAAAATAACTGTCGAACATTCACAACATGGATGCGTCTGGCTGTTCCTTGATGCATTTAGCCAGGAAATGCAAGGCAGACACACAGTCAGGCCCGTTTGCAGGCAGAGATGGAAGGTTACAGCTCTCCTCAGGGAAGGCCACCTGCCTGTGGCCCGCGATTGACACTGACCAAGGGACTGGAAGAGCCAGCTGCCTCTGTCACTCAAAAGCAATGTCTCCAGCCACAAGCTAATAAAAGAAGACCTAGCTTAAGGACTGCATCCCAAAGTGGTTTTTATGTAGATTTTTTGCCCACTGAGTGAACCGGAAACAAATAGACTGAAAGCTTACTAAATGCGGGGGCAACTGTGTTACCATTCATCCCCTAAAACAGCCCTCAGATCCCCAACCTGTGGCTCCTTTGGCATGATGTCAGCATCTTTGGTCGCCTCCTTGCTTTCTGGTCGACAAGATAGTCTGAGCTCATCTTGAACATATCCCATCCTAAGCTTGGAATCCGCCCTGGGTCCTTTCGGCAGGAAATGGTTTTAGATATTTAGACACTCCAGATCGGATTGTGGGGGTGCTTGTTGCTTTCAAGCCTCCTTTTTGGACAAAACTATGAGAGACTTTTCCTCATAAAATACATGAGCTCATACTAAAATTTTCAATTCAGATTCAGGACTACAGGATTTTCATTTTGCTTTCAGCATTTAGGGAGCACACCTTAAAATTTAAATTTACGTCATCATTATATGAAATATTTTCATGATTCCAGGTCAAATATACAAAACAAGGTGGATTTAGTCCACTGCCTTTGACACACGTGGGCCCTGGGACAAGGTTGCAGGCAAAGGCCCGTGTTCCTTTGGATATGTGCTATTTTTAAAGTATTTTTTAAATTGAAGTATAGTTGATTGGACATGTATTTTGAACTAATAAGTCAAGTCAAAAGCTCTTAAATAGAATATGTCCTTAACCTATAATAAAAAAGAATATCAAAAAGAAAATGTATATATACATGGCGGAATCCGTGCGCTGCACCCCGGAAACTAACACAACATTGTAAATCAACTAAACTTCAATTCAAAAAAAAAAAAAAGTGGGAATATGTCCTCCTGTCCTACCCTCCTCTTAGAGCATTTCTCTCTCACACGGACACGGAGACCAGTTTCCAATTCCGAGTTTTTGGCTCCTTGGAGTTCCACGCTGGGTTATGGCGGCATGGGGGGAGCCCTCCCCCCACTTCTCCCCGTCTGGCCCCCATTCCCCGTGCTTTCCTGCAGCACAAGGGGCCCCCCACACACATACTGGATGGGCAGCCCTGGTCAGCCCTCCGGAGGAAGGGCCCTGAGATGGGTCTGCCCGGGCCCTTGAAGTGGGCTTGGGGCTACATAGGTAGAAAATTCCTGAGTCCCTTGATCTAAAAAGGAGGGTATCAGCTCCACGTCACCTGGCCCGCGGGGTCCTC